GCTGTGCTGGGGCAGTCCTGTAGGTTGACCTCTTAAGCCCCCAGGCTACTCGGGGGCAGGCCTGCATGTCACCTCCTCAGCCACCAGGTTGGGCTGGGGCCAGATTGCCCATAAACATCCAAAGCCACCAACCTGTTGGGGCCAGCCTGCAGGTCGACCTCCTCAGCCCCCAGGCTGGGCTGAGTTCTGCCTGCATGTCGACCTCCTCAGCACCCAGGCTAGCCTGGGGCCATCCTGTAGGTCGACCTCTTCAGCCCCGAGGCTGGGCTGGGGCCGGCCTGCAGGTAAACATCGGCAGACTCCACCCTGTTGGGGCCAGGCTGCAGGTGGACATCCTCAGCCTCCACCTTTTTGGGCCGGGCCTCAGGTGGACCTCCTCAGCCTCCAGGGTGGTCAGGGGCCGGCCTGCATTTCGACTTCCTCACGTCCCAGGCTGGGCAGTGGCCGCCTTGCAGGTCGACCTCCTCAGTCCCCAGGTTGGCCTGGGCCAGCCTGCAGCTCTACCTCTTAAGCCCCCAGGCTGGCCTGGGGCCGTCCTGTAGGTTGACCTCCTCAGCCCCCAGGCTGGCTGGGGCCGGACTGCAGGTAAACATCCGCAGCCTCCACCCTGTTGGGGCTGGACTGCAGGTGGACATTCTCAGCCTCCAGTCTAGGCTGGGGCCGGCCTGCAGGTTGACTTCCTCAGCCCCCATGTTGGGCTGGGGCCAGCCTGCAGGTCAACCTCTTAAGCCCGCAGGCTGGGCTGGAGCCAGCCTGCAGGTCGACCTCCTCAGCCCCCAGGCTTGGCTGGGGCTGTCCTGCAAGCAACCTCCTCAGCTCCCAGGCTGAGCTGGGGCAGGCCTGCAGGCCGACCTTCTCGGCCCCCAGGCTGGGCTGGCACCAGAATGCAGGTAAACATCCGCAGCCTCCTCCCTGTTGGGGCTGGGCTGCAGGTGGAACTAATCAGCCTCCAGGCTGGGCTGGGCCAGCCTGCAGGTAGACCTCCTCAGCCCCCAGGATGGGCTGGGCCGGCCTGCAGGTCAACCTCTTAAGCCCCCAGGGCTGGGCTAGGGCCAGCCTGCAGGTTGACCTCCTCAGCCCCCAGTCGGCATGGGAGCAGCCTGCAGGTCGACCTCTTAAGCCCCCAGGCTGGGCTGGGACTGGCCTGCAAGTCAACCTCCTCATCCCACATGTTGGGCTGGGCCGGCCTGCAGGTCGACTTCCTCAGTCCCCAGGCTGGGCTGGGCTCTGCCTGCATGTGGAACTCGTCAGCCCCAGGCTGGGTTGGGGACAGCCTGCAGGTCGACCTCCTCAGTCCCCAGGCATGTGGGGCCGGCCTGGGGGTCAACCACCTCAGCCCCCAGGTTGGCCTGGGACGGCATGCACCTCGACCTCCTCAACCCCCAGGCTGGGCTGGGCAGGACTGCAGGTTGACCTCTTAAGCCCAAGGCTGGGCTGGGCCGTCCTGCAGGTCAACCTCCTCAGCCCCCAGGCTGGGCTCAGTTCTGTCTGTGGGTCGACCTCCTCAGGCCCCAGGTTGGGCTGGGCCTTCCTGCACGTCGACCTCCTCAGCTCCCAGGCTAGGTTGGTGCTGGACTACAGGTAAACATCCTCAGCCTCTATCCTTCTGGGGCTGGGCTGCAGGTCGACCTAAACAGCCTCTTGGCTGGGCTGGGGCAAGCCTGCAGGTAGAACTCCTCAGCCCCCAGGATGGGCTGGGCCGGCCTGCAGGCCGACGTCTTAAGCCCCCAGGCTTGTCTGGGGCCGTCCTGCAGGTGACCTCCTCAGCATCCAGGCTGGGCTGGGGCCCGCCTGCCTGTTGACTTCTTAAACCCCCAGGCTGGGCTGGTACTGGCCTGCTGGTCGACCTCCTCAGCACCCAGGCTTGCCTGGGGCCGGACTACAGGTAAACATCCGCAGACTCCACCCTTTTGGAGCCAGGCTGCAGATGGACATCCTCAGCCTCTAGGCTGAGCTGGAGCCGGCCTTCTTGTCGAACTCCTCAGACCCCAGTCTGGGCTGGGGCCAGCCTACAGGTCGATCTCCTCACCCCACCAGGCTGGGCTGGGGCCAGCCTGCAGTTCGACCTCCTCAGCCCCCAGGCTGGCTGGCCGATCTGCAGGTCTACCTCTTAAGCCTACAGGTGGGCTGGGGCCGCCCTGCAGGTTGACCTCCGCAGCTCCCAGGCTGGGCTGGGTCCGGTATCCAGGTCGTCCGCCTCAGCTTCTGGCTACGCTGGGGCCAGCCTCCTGGTGGACCTCCTCAGCCTCAAGTCTGGGCTTTGGCGGTCTGAATATCAACCTATTTAGTTTTCAGAATGGGCTGTAGTTGGCCTTTAAGGTGAACTACTGGACCCAGTTTGGGCTGGGGTTCGGCTGTGTTCAAACTCCTCATCATCCAGGCTGGGCTGAGGTCGGACTACAGGTCGACCTCCTCAGCCTCCATGCTGGCTGGGGCCAGCTTGAATGTCGACCTCCTGGGCAACAGGGCTGGGCTGGGGCCGACCTCCAGGCTGGCCCAGCCCAACAGGTTTGGACCAAAGCAGGACCACTGTAGCTCGAGAGCTGCCCCAAATCAGAAAAAGGTCAAAAAGAGCCAGAACCTCACACCCTGGGTCCCGGGGGCAGGGGTCCCTCCGTGAACGATCTGGCACCCCCTCCTCTGCTTCTGGGCTCGGTGTCCTTGTTTCCATGCCCTGTCTTCATGCTGGGAGGTGTGTGGGGTCTGCTCAGTGGCCTCACCTGCTAGCTTCTCCAGCTGCTGTCAATTGGGTCTGCCTGCTTGCTGCTGCATTTCAGGAGTCATGGAATGTTCTTTCTTGGACCATCTTACAGCGGTCAGGCTCCTCTCCTGCGGTTCATTTTATTTCTCCTCTAATAAGGATGTCAAAGAGTCTGCTCATGTCTACAGCGATGGGATCTCTCTCTGAGAAGTGACTAAAGGGCTCCTTTGCCCTCTGTGTATTGGGGTCCATATGCAGGCAAGTTTAATCCACATTATTGGATGCAGCTAGAGCTTGATGATTTTCATTGCTTGTAATATCCTACCTCACGCAAAGTAATTTTCACATTCTAATCTTGCTACACATAAGGGGAAGGGTTAGAAAGAGTACATTTCTTTACTATTTTCCTTCTGTGGTGGAACTACATTCTCTCTGGGGGTTTTTATTCTACTCTCATCATCTCAAACGGTAAAAAGTATTTTCTACATCATTAAAAACTTCAGCATTATTGTATCTAACGGTTACATTTCTTTATGTAGATGCTGATTTAAGCAGTCCCTGGATGCTTCATTTAGATAGCTTCCCATCACTTGTTACCATAAAGTGCTGGTGAACATGTTTACACAAAGATTTTGATCGACACGTCAAAGCATTTCCCTAGATCGTTTCCCAAAAACAGATCGCCTATTTCTATTTAATAAAAGTATTTTAAATTCAAGGATGTCCGCAGGAGGGTGGCGTGAATTTATTTTCTCAGGAATGAACGAGAGTACCTGTTTCATGCCATCCTTACGGCATTTCCATCTCTCTAGCCTTGTTCTTAAAGCCTTTGGGCACTGCGCTGCTCGCACGCCCGCCTCTGCTTGCCCCGCCCTGCCCGGGCCTCAGAACTTACATTTATTCTCCGCATTTGTCCCATTACTCCTAGCCACCAGGGCCGCGCTCCGTCGCTTTTCTCCACGGCCACCCCAAGGCCCTTTCCTTCCTCCTCCTCCTCATTCTGTTACAGGGCAACCCCAACATAAAACGGGTTGCCTGACTGTGGGTCCTCACCCCTGCATTTAGAAAGGGACTTATTAATACTCCACTGCAGGCACACACAAAAGGTTAATAAAAGGTTTATTCATAAGGGAAGGGGAAATGAGGACATGTACAACTCAGGGAGAAAAGAGGGAGATAAAGGCTTAAATGCGCCCTACAAGTTCCGCAGACCTAGAATCCCAATGGCACGCTGAGAGCTGGCGGAGAGCTAAGAGCCAGGAGGCCAAGAGAGCGCCCCAAGGCCCACGTGTCTGGTTTAATACCAACCCTGACAGCTTAACTCCACCCTCAGGTCCCAGCCACCTTCCCTTTGGTGGTGACGGGATTTGTCTTTCCCAGTGTCTTGATGGCTTTGGTCTGGGGTGGGAGTGGAGTCCACAAAGCCTGCATGGAGTTAGCTCAGGACATCCTTTCCCCCTAACAATTTCTCTGCTTTCCATTCACCATCTACTACGTCCTTCATCATTCTGCACTTACCCAGTTTACCTCGCTCCTTTCCCTTTTTGTCTTTCTCTGCACTTTCCGCAGATTTACCCCTTCTAACTTGCCCATCCGATGCTGCCATCGTTACACAGCGTTCTTCCCGCATCCTTGCAGCCCTCCTGTTATAGGGCAGCCCCTATATTGAACGGGTTGCCTGGCCGTGGGTCCTCACCCGCGTGCTTACAAGGGACTTATGAATACTCCACTACAGGCACACACAAAAGGTTAATAAAAGGTTTATTTACAAGGGAAAAGGAAACAAGGAAAATGTACAACTCAGGGAGAAAATAGGGAAATAAAGTGCGTCCTACCCGATCCGCCGACCTGGAAACCCAAAAAGCACTCTCCGAGCTGGCCGGACGCTGCGAGCTGGCGGAGAGCCAAAATGGGGGACCCCCCCCCCCCAAAGCCCACGTGTCTGTCTTTATACTCACTTGGCTGCTTAACCCCACCCTCAGGTCCCAGCCACCTTCCCTTTGGTGGTGATGGGATTTGGAGTTCCCAGTGTCTTTGGCTTTGGCCTGGGGTGGGGGTGGAGTCCACAAAGCCTGTATGGAATTAGCTGTAGGACATCCTTTTCCCCCTTACCCTCCCAGCGGCATTCTCCATTCCTCCACACCCTCCACACCCTCCCCACCCGGCCATTTCCTTGGCGCCTAATGGCTGGGGCTGCGATTTTCCCACGGTACCACTCGCGTCCACAAGACGGCGCTATTCGCGTGTAGTTTCCCGCGTTACCCCAGGACCCTCTCCCGGCTCGCCTCAGGCTAAGCGTTCAAGGGGGGCTTACAGCGTCCAGGGCGAGCAGGTAGGGCCCGGAAGATGGGGGGGCGGGGCGCGTCCCGGTGGGCGGGGGGATTGGGGAGAAAGCTGCCTGAGGAGGCCGCCCGCAGGGCGCATGGGCGGGGTAAAGAGCGGGGAAATGTGCGGGGAGCGCAGACGAGGCGCGGAAGGGCCGGAGGAGCGAAGTGACGGGGTGAGGTGCAGAGTAATGAAGGACGTGGTCGGTGGTGGATGAAGTACTGGGGAATGAGAGGGTGGGAGCGACCTGAAAGGGCCTTGGGGTGGCCTTGGAGAAAAGCGGCAGAGCGCGGCCCTGGCGGCGAGGAGTCACGGGACAAACGCGGAGAATAAATGTAAGTTCTGAGGCCCGGGCAGGGCGGGGCAGCAGAGGCGGGCGGGCGAGCAGCGCGGTGCCCAAAGGCTTTAGAACAAGGCTAGACATTCAAAAAAGATAAACACATGCAATTTGCAGCAACATGGATGGTGCTGGAAGGGATCATGCTCAGCGAAATAAGCCAGAAAGGAAAAGAAAAATACCGGATGGTCTCACTCGTAGCAGGAATCTAGAAAACTTAAATAAGGGACCAGGAAAATGAATATCTATAAGAAAGAAAATATCAAAATCAACAAATAACTATGAATAAGAGACTCTCTATGGGGAGTAGGGGGCGGGGAGGGGAGGGATTGGGGTCAAAATAAGGGGGTCGCAATTGTATGGGGAACATAAAAATAAAATTAAAAAAAAAAAGAACAAGGCTAGAGAGATGGAAATGCCGTAAGGATGGCATGAAACAGGTATTCTCGTTCATTCCTGAGAAATAAATTCACGCCACCCTCCTGCGGACATCCTTGAATTTAAAATACTTTTATTTTAAATAGAAATAGGCGATCTGTTTTTGGGAAACGATCTAGGGAAATGCTTTGACGTGTAGATCAAAATCTTTGTGTAAACATGTTCACCAGCACTTTCTTTATGGTAACAAGTGATGGGAAGCTATCTAAATGAAGCATCCAGGGACTACTTAAATCAGCATCTACATAAAGAAATGTAGCCGTTAGATACAATAATGCTGAAGTTTTTAATGATGTAGAAAATACTTATGTTACCGTTTGAGATGATGAGAGTAGAATAAAAACCCCCAGAGAGAATGTAGTTCCACCACAGAATGTAGTTCCACCACAGAAGTAAAGAAATGTACTCTTTCTAACCTTTCCCCTTATGTGTAGCAAGACTAGAATGTGAAAATTACTTTGTGTGAGGTGGGATATTACAAGCAATGAAAATCATCAAGCTCTAGCTGCATCCAATAATGTGGATTAAACTTGCCTGCATATGGACCCCAATACGCAGCGAGCAAAGGAGCCCCTTAGTCACTTCTCAGAGAGAGACCCTGTAGGGTAAGGAAAAATGTCAGGCTTTTCTGCCCTCCCGCCATCAGGAGAGATGATGGATCCTTGCGGTCCTGAATGCATGCCTGATGGCGGACACCTGGAGTAGGGTGTGGGCATAGGTAGATGGGATTCACCTGGGCTAAGACTGGGCTTTTAAGGGCGGCGTCATGGAGACGCCAGCAGCAGCCAAAAGAGAAGCCGAAAGAGACGCCGAGAGAGAAGCAAGAGAAGCAGAAGAAGCCGAAAGAGAAGAAGCCCGAAGCAGAAGCAGAGAACGCCAGAGAGCCCAAATAGAGTGAAGATTTGCTGGGGGCTGGGAGGACTGCCAGCCTCCCAGCCCTCCAGCACCCCTGCCTGCCATGTGCCTTGTGAACCCCAATAAAAAACCTGCAAAAACCACTGAGGACCCTGACTCCTCCTTTACCCTGTCTGCATGGGATCAGGAAACCTGCACTGTGTCCTTCCTGCCCCTACAGACCCCATCGCTGTAGACATGTGCAGACTCTTTGACATCCTTATTAGAGGAGGAATAAAATGAACCGCAGGAGAGGAGCCTGACCACTGTAAGATGGTCCAAGAAAGAACATTCCATGACTCCTGAAATGCAGCAGCAAGCAGGCAGACCCAATTGACAGCAGCTGGAGAAGCTAGCAGGTGAGGCCACTGAGCAGACCCCACGCACCTCCCAGCATGAAGACAGGGCATGGAAACAAGGACGCCGAGCCCAGAAGCAGAAGAGAGGGTGCCAGATCGTTCACGGAGTAACCCCTGCTCCTGGGACCCAGGGTGTGAGGTTCTGGCTCTTTTTGACCTTTTTCTGACTTGGGGCAGCTCTCGAGCTTCAGTGGCCCTGCTTTGGTCCAAACCTGTTGGGCTGGGCCTTTACCCACCAGGAGACAGGTAACGTTGGGTGCTGAGTTTGGAAATTTTATTCTTCCTCTTTTCGTTGTTGCACAATTGCACTAATTGTATTAAAGTTCCCTTCCATGAAAGGTCTCACATAGTAGAGGATGTCTTGTCTTAATGAATTGATGGCAGAACCTATTTAGAATGGGCAGGTTTGGGGGTCATAGCATGTCCTCACCCTGCCCTTTAACACTTTGTAGTAAAGCAAGTGAGAATGACAAAGACAAATATCCGCCATTGACATAGCAGGTGAGAAAACAAAGTAAAATGCCTAGAAAAACGACTGGACTCTAAGAAGCAAGTGAGGTTGCTGAGGTTAAGAGGGAAGGGGACAGCGGACAGGACAAAGGGAAAAATGTCAGGGACTAACAGGTATTAGGAAGGAAAGGTCTGGAAAATAGATTGAGGTTATGGGGATGCTATTATAGAGTGATCTAGGGAGGGTCTCTCTGAGGAGTGATTATTGGATAATGGCCTGAATGAAGAGACAAAGTGGGCGCTTCAAGCAGAGTGAACCTCCAAAGCAAAAGTCCCGACAACGAAAACGTGTTATTGTGAGCGAAGTTAATAGGGCCTATGTGTGTATATTGTGGGGGAAGGGGGCGGTGGTGAGTGAAATGAGAGCTGAAACACTGCCCTGTTTTTGTCATGGTTATTTGATAATCTGCCGTATAAATGGTAATTTGATTTTCCCCTTGGTTGAACACCACCTAGGAAGTCACCCCTAAGTCTGGGGAAACAAACTGATCAGCAGCCATGAGGGAAATGGGAAATCAATCAATCAATCAATCAAAATTGCAGCATGAAATCCTAAGCCAACGAGTCAAAACAGAAAAGACCCCCAGAGGGCCTCCCTTGTGGTGCAGGGGTTAAAGACAGTGCTCTCAAGCTATCAGCCAGCCACTGCAGCAAGAGTTCAATCCCTCATCAGCCAGGAGCAACCTATTTGGCACAGCAGACCTCTCCTTTCTTGCCCACGTGTATTTTTTTAAAAAAAGATTATTTATGCATGAAAGAGTGGGGGTACAGGCCAGAGATGTAAGGGGTGAGAGGATTTACCAGAGACAGAGTGGGGAACAGAACAGGCAGATTGACTGAAGTACACTGCTGTGGGGAGCAGCGGGTGAATCAGGAGAGATCTGCTGCACCATCTGGGCAGCTCCCTGGCCGGGGATAGTTTCATAGGTTGCGTCTTAACCCCTTGCGCCACCAGGGAGGCCATTGCCCGCGTGTATTTCAGTAGATCCGCCAGTTCTGCTCCCCACTCTCTCTGGTGAATCCTCTCACCACTCCCCCACACCTCTGGTCTACACTCTAGTGCTTGTATATATAACTAAGTTAATAAATCTTTAAAAGAAGAAAAGACCCCCACAGTGCAAGCACTCTAACCCCATCATGGTTGTGAAAATGAGCAGTGTCGGAACAGTTGCAAAGGAGAAAAGTCGATCCGATGGAAGAAGATGATATAACCCAGTTGGAGCAGGTGGTCACAGTTGAAATGGATTATAACATGGGAACCAAGGTGATTTATTTGGGGGGGGGGAGATGTTACCATCGATGTTCTGTGTCCAACAGCTGAAGGCAGAAGTGAGGGGCTATTTTTCTGGTGTAGAAAGTCCAAGCAAGAGCTATTCTGATAAATTGAGCTTCCTGAGTCATTGTGCAGCTGCTGCTTTTCGAAAGGCAATTTGGACAGAAAGCTAGCCTCGCGACTGGCAGAGTTGAAATCTGTCTGTCCAGACCCCACTCTTCCCTCACACTGCTATTGCTGTCTCTGCAGTGATGGTGCAGATCTGTGAGAAGGCCCTCTGAAGGTTGCTGGTCCTGAGACTGCCCCCAGATTCCTGTTGCATAGGATGAACAGAGTCCAGGAGCCTTCATTGTACCTAGCCAGGGCTGGAAGGTTGTATTCCATAGGCCAGAGAAAAGAGGTCTTGATAGTTGCTGTCCAGCGTGCTGAATTGTAGTACCGGCAACCCAGGGATGTAGCCTGTAGACATGGAGCTGTCCGCTGTGCTGATCCTTCTCAGACCACTCTTTGTTACTACAAGGGTCCACCTCAAGTTGCTTGGGCTGTGGGATTTGCCGGAGGGTTTTGGACTTTGGCATATTGACTTGGATGGCTTGCTATTGTTTGCTTGCAGTAGAGAAGTTCTTTCATGCAATGGAGAGCAAAATCTTACAAAATCTTACACTGCTGGGCCACTGAATATTTTTTAGAATGAAATGGAGGGTACTTTCCAGACTCAGTGCCCTCATTGCTAGATTTCTCATAAACTGCCCTCATGATTTTCCTAATTCCCAGATGAAATATTTCTAGTACATTGAGGAGCAAAGAAAGGCCTGCAATGCTGTGCATATAGATCATGAATATGGTTTTCTCTGTTAGCCTTGATACAAAGAAATCCACTGAATTGGGACAAGGAGGTTGAGTGCATTTGTAAAGGGAATGCATTTGAAATCCACAAAGAATATATTGACCACTCATGAACCCTACTTCTAGCACAGATCTGGTCAAAGTGTGTAAGTCACAGGACCTCCCTGGTGGTGCAGGTGTTAAATACAGCACTATCAAGCTATCGCCGGCCACTGCAGCATGAGTTCGATTCCCGACCAGCCAGGGAGCAACCTACATGGTGCAGCAGACCTCTTCTGTCTTGCCCACTGCTCCCCTCAGCAGTGTATTTCAGTAGATCTGCCTGTTTTGCTCCCCACAGTCTCTGGTGAATTCTCTCGTGCCCCTACCCCTCTGGCCTTCACCCTAGCTCTGGCATGCATAAATAAACATCTTTTTTTTTTTTTTAAAAAAAAAGAAAGTATCAATAAATAATATTAGATGGAATTGTCTTCTTTCAAATTTTGGTTCCTTGACTCTATCATTGGAATAATCATGGAAAAAATATTCTTTATTAAAGAAGAATTCCTCCAGCATTTAAAAAATTAAAGCTTCAATTTTATATAAAAACCCTGAAAGCGGGAAAGCCAACTCATTTCATTAATTTATTCTCCATTTGGCAATCCTAAACTATTTAAAACTTCTTTCTGCCACTATCTCTTCAAGGCTTGGAAATCACCATAGCAATTCAAGGAAACTAGGCTACATGAAAATATAATCATGAAAACTAACATGCAAGAGCAAGATTCTTTAGACAAGCATTCCTATGTTTCCCCAAAATAACTTTTTACCATTGAAAGACTATATCTTAAAAATATTCTGAATTTTATTATTGAATATTAATTCAGCATCTCTTATATAGTTGGTGGCTCTTTCCTTAATTTTATTTTCCTGCCTCATAAGAATTTCTTATTTTAAAATAAAGAGACACCAAGATATATTTTATTTTAAAATATATCTTATTTTAAAATAAATAGTTGGGCCTCCCCGGTGGCGCAGCAGTTGAGTGCCCCGCTGTGAAGCTGTCCACAGCCTCCGCAGTGCGGGTTCCATTCCCCGCCGGCCAGGGGGAACTCCACATGGCACGGCAGACCTCTCCTGCCTCACCCACTGCTCCCTTCAGCAGTGTTTTTGGTTCGTCTGCCTGTTCTGCTCCCTGCTCTGGCTCTCGTGGATTCTCTCACCCTCCTGCGCTTCTGACCTGTACCCCAGTTCTTGTATAAAATAAATAAAATCTTTTAAAAAAATAGAGTTCACATATTTTCCCCTTACCTTATTGGTGGACACACACACAGAAAATCACAACTGAGCTGAAAGAACCTTAAAGTTGGACCATGTATGACTAATTACAAAAACAACTGCTGGTGGTTGCAAATATAGACTCTGATCAGCTGATTATGAAGCCCAGTTCGGAATTAGCACAGTAATTTTAATAAATGGAATGTAACCTAGTCTTCCCCCCAAATTCTACATGTCCTTAGTGTTTACAAGGCTCTTGTAAAATTTTTTCTAATTTACAGTATGCTGGGAGCCTCTTGGTGTATACTATTTGGAAATGAAAAATGAAACAGGGAGAATTTTCTTTTTTTGGAATATTTGCACTTGAGTGTTTTTCAGTCAATTGATTGCTCTGGCAATCTATGCTCACAGATCAATGGGTCATGTTCAATTTCATCAAAAGCTGCTTGGGATGAAGACTGGCCACATCAAAATGCAAACAAGTTATAATGGCGTGACAATAAACCTGAAGTGTTCTTGCAAATCATGCCATGCTAAAGGGAGAAACAAAGAGAGCAAGCAAATTTAGAACCACTGAGAGGGGTTTGTGCTTGCCTGTAGACTATTTTGTTCTGTTAGGATGAAATAGATAGGTGAGGGGAAAAAATATTTTTCTGTAAAGAATATGAAAGTTGGGACCTCCCTGGTGCACAAGGGGTTAAAGTCTTAACACTATCAAGCTATTACTAGCCACTGTGGTATCACCAGCCCAGATATGTAACATCTTACATTTGCCATTTCTCAAGTATATAATCTTACTGCCAGAGTAACTGCTCCTTACTTAGAGGAGTTAACAGCACAAGTATCAGTAGAATCCAATGATGGTTAAGACCATGGCTCCTAGGGCCTCCCCGATGGCACAGGGGTTAAAGTCTCAGCACTATCAAGCTATTGCCAGCCACTGGGCCTGAGTTTGATCCCTGGCCAGGGAGCTGACCCACATGGTGCAGCAGATCTCTCGTGTCTCGCCCGCTGCTCCCCTCAGCAGTGTATTTCAGCAGATCTGCCTGTTCTGCTCCCCATTCTATCTCTAGTGAATCCTCTCACCGCTCCCCACCACACCTCTAGCCTACACCCCAGTTCTTGTACACCTAAGTAAATAAAAATAAATCTTAAAAAAAAAAAACCACATGGCTCCTAGGTACATTTCTAAGTGTACTCTTCTCCATATAAAATATAGAAAGTACATAAAATTATTGATGGCTCATAACTTGCCACCTGCCTATCCTATTTTCTGATATATAGTTTTTTTAAAGATTTATTTCTGCATACAAGAGCTGGGGTACAGGCCAGACATGTGGGGGGTGAGAGGATTCACCAGAGCCAGAGTGGAGAGCAGGACAGGCAGATGGACCAAAATACATTGCTGAGGGGAGCAGCGGGCAAGTCAGGAGAGGTCTGCTGTGCCATGGGGGTACTTCCCTGGCAGGGATTCGAACTCATGATGCAGTGGCTGTGGATAGTTTCATAGGTTGCGTCTTAACCCCTTGCACCACCAGGGAGGCCCCTGGTATATAGTTTTTTAAAAAAGATAATAAAAGGTAAGCAAGTGAGATTAAGTTTCCACTACCTACTATTCCAGCCTCAGAACAAATTGTCAGAATTGACTAAAAAAAAGCTTGAAAACAGGGGCTTCCCCTGGTGGCGCAGTGGTTGAGCGCTGGGTTGCAAGGCTATCTGCAGCGCCAGTTTAATCCCTGGCGAGGGTCTCACCAAAAAAAAAAAAAAAAAAAAAAAAAGCTTGAAAACATATGTATTAATGTGTATATGTATATTTTGGGTACAATGTCCAAGAAACTCCTTGACATTTAATTCTAAATTCACCTGCCAAACATCTAATACCCTTAAACATTTTATCAACATCAAAACCTTCATGTGTAGAATTACTCAAATGAGCACACAAGAAACTCCTAACAGTAGTTGCCTCAAGAGAAGATATTTAGGGTAACCTGACATCAATTCCAATGAGTATGTAGAGGCTTTCCCACACCAACAAGCAATTTCCAGACACCAGCAGACTGTCCAAGAATTCAACTATATTCTAACACTGTCTACCAGAAGTGTCAGATTCTACAAGTTAAGTGTTCAGTTTTCCAAACCCATCTTCCATTTCAGATGTTGCCACCTGAGCTTCTGACCAACCAGCTAATTTGGAGGTTCAAACGATGCCCTCCGCAGACTTCAGGTGCCCTACACAAGCCCAGAGTATTAGCTGTGCTTGTGACCTAACCTACTAGCTATAGATCAGAGTTTCTAGAACACCCTCTTCAAGTAATTGCAAGAATGTTTCACAGAACTCAAAAAACCAGCTCATTCACTAGATCACTGATTTATTACTATTGAGATTATCATACTCACCTTTCCTTTTGTTTTGGTCAATGGCATTAATTTGAGCATCCTTGCAACAATGCTATATATTCCATTAGGTCATGGAGTATGATTTTATTTTATTTAATTCAGTTTGCAACTTTTGTTGAGGATTTCCGTATCCATGTTCATCATGGATATTGGTCTGTAGTTGTGTGTGATATCCTTGTTGCTTTTGATATCAGGTAATGTTGACCTCATAAATTGTTCTTGGAAGTGTTCTCTTATTCAATTTTTGGGAAATTTGAGGATAGTTATTGATCTTTGAAGGTTTGGTGGAAATCACTAGTGAAGCCACTGGCCCTGGGCTTTTGTTTGAGAGATTTTTAATTACTGTTTCAATTTTCTTGCTTGAATTCCTTTCTTCAAATTTTTGTTTCTTCCTGATACAATCTTGGAGATTTCAAGACTCTAAAGATTTGTCCATTTCTTCTAGATCTTCCAATTTGTTTGCAATAAAGATGTTACACCAGCACCTTATGATTCTTTCTCTATATTTTAAAAGATTTATTTATGCATACAAGAGCTGGGGTATAGGCCAGAGATGCAGAGGGTGAGAGGATTCACTAGAGGCAGAGTGGGGAGCAGAACAGGCAGAACTACTGAAAATACACTGCTGAGGGGAGCAGCAGGCGAGCCAGGAGAGGTCTGTTACCCCATGTGGGTTGTTCCCTGGCTGGCTGGGATCAAACTCGTGCTGCAGAGGCTGCAGATTGCTTCATAGTGCGGTGCTTAACCCTTTGCGCCACCAGGGAGGCCCCTGTATGCTGTTTAGTCTCCACATATTTGAGGTTTTTTCCTGTCATTTTGTGGTTGATTTCAGAAGATACTTGGTATTATTTCAGTCTTCTTGAACTTATAACACATTTTGTGATCCAACATAGTCTTTCTCAAGAAAGCTCCAAGTGCAACAAGAACATATCCTTAGCTTTTATAAGGCATAGTGTACTATGTCAATTAAGCTCAACTGATCTAATTCCTCATTTTAAGGTTGTTGATTTTGTCGATCTGTCCATTGATGTAAATGGGGTGTTAAAGTAGCCTACTACTAATGTGTTGATGTGTTTTTAGATTTGCTAAGAGTTGCTTTACATATTTTGATACTCAAAGTTTTTTTTAAAGATTTATTTGTGCATACAAGAACTGGGGTACAGGCCAGAGGTGCGGGGGGTAGGGGGAGGGTGAGAGAATTCATCAAAAGACAGAGTGAGGAACAGAACAGGAAGACTGACCGAAATATACTGCTGCAGGGAGCAGCGGGCAAGACAGGAGAGGTCTGCTTCGCCATGTGGGTTGCTCCCTGGCCAGCTGGGGATTGAACTCATGCTGCAGAGGCTGTGATTGCTTCATAGTGCGGTGCTCAACCCCCTGTGTCACCAGGGAGGCCCTCTAGGAGATTTTTAATTTGATTTTACAATTCATTCATTCTTCAGCTGTATCCATTTTATTTTACTCTATTGTACTTCATTCTAAACATGCTTTTATATTTCTACTTGGGTCGTTATCCCTTATTCTTGCATTACATTGCTAAAATCTTCCCCTTTTTCTTTAAAAATTTATTGGCTTTATTTTATATTCTGCTGGTGTTAGGTAATCCAGTTCGTTTTCTTTTAAACCAATAGCATCTTAGTTCTTTCATATTTCTTTGGCTTGTATACTCATTTACAGTAGTATGAGCTCTTCCAAGTCATAGCATGCATTGGGGAAGAGCTTAGAATCAACCCTCCAACCTATATTGCAGGTTCAGAAGAAAGAAATAACCCCTATAAGTGGTCAGCCCCGTGTATGAAACTATAGTTAATTATTTCAGTTTGTAATCTACCAAGCAATCCTTGATATCAGGGTATTTGATAAGACATTTCCTAAAGTCCAGGGCCTAGATCAAAATCCACTAGTCCTATGAGTCTGGTGGGGGAAGGGTGAATAAAGCACAAGCTAGGGCCTCCCTGGTGGCACAAGGGGTTAAGACGCATCCTATGAAGCAATCCACAGCCACTGCAGCACAAGTTTGATCCCTGGCTGGCCAGGGAACAACCCATATGGTGCAGCAGACCTCTCCTGCTGCCCACTGCTCCCCTCACCAGTGTCTTTGGTCCATCTGCCTGTTCTGTTCCCCACTCTGTCTCTGGTGAATCCTCTCACCCCCCCCGCACCTCTGGCCTGTACCCCAGTTCTTGCATGCATAAATAAATAAATCTTAAAAAAAAAATAAAGCACAATCTAGCCAGTGCTTACCTGCTTTCATCAAATCTTTACCCAAAAGGCTTTTGTGGTAGACTGATTACATTTGTGAGGACACCTGCAGCAAAGGTCTGTACCTGCTGTAAGAAAGCAGGTAAAAGCTTTCTACTCATAAACATACAGCCAGTCTCTCTCTTTCCGCCCTCTCGCTTCTGTGCTTCCCCCACCTCTCTCGCTCACACACATATCAAAAACTACTTTTGAGTAAATCCTACATCTCCTGGGAGTTTTACCTCTTTTTTAAATAGCTATTATCCATAGACACTGAAAGAAACACTCTAATCATAATGTAATAGAACTTTACATGGTTTTATTCATACATTACTGGTAATGAAAGCAAACTTTATACAAAAACATTTATACAGATAAAAAAAATCCTTGGCTAAGCAAAGCCATTTATGTGTGTATATACACACAAATACACATACATAAACAAAGTATTTTACAACATTAGACATATTTACAAATACAATATTTAAATTATTTTACAATTTGCCAAAATGAGGCAATTAGAAAAACAAATAAAAATGGGTGAAACCAAGTATTTGTTAAGTTTAATGTTACAAAACTGTTTTTAAAAATGTAGAAAAGAAAGTAATTTCTTTGAAATACAAAACTAAGGGTTCGGTACTATATTGTTGTTTTTATCTAACAAATTCTAACCTGTTTAAAAATAAATATATTGATCAGATTGATATGCTGAACATGCTGACTTGAGATTAAAGAGTCAGCAAATAGTAACAATTGTAGGTTATTATTTGGTAATCAAATATGTCATAAAGCTGCCCTCTACTTCCCCATTTAAAACATGAGGAAGTCCAAGCTTCTGTGTCATATACGATATCAATTAAGACTTCAAGTAATTCAGCAACTCATCTGTAATGTAAGAAAATGCTAAAGTTATGATCCCATTTTATGTTCATAAACTATTCTTTAAAATGAGTTCTACTTTGATAAAATTGATATTAAAGGATTAACTTTATACAGAATCAGTTTGGCAACTTTATCATTATACCCTGATAATTTCATCAGACTATAGTACTTGGAGGGGAAAATACCAGTTAAGAGACAAGCCAGGAATGAAATACCCATTATTTATGCTGTCATGCAAGCAAATAAAATCTCAAATATCAGAACCATTAAAAAAATTTAGGAAAAAATGAAAAAAATTAATTTGTAATGGAATTTAGAACTATTAAACTAATCAGCATCATCTACAGATCCAATTTTGATTCTTTTGTGACTACATATTATCTTCATAAGAGAATGAAATTTATATAACCAGGTCATTTTGCTTGAAGTTTTTTTTTAGAGATTCTTTAGAATAAGCTTTTTCTTCAAATTCTCCATTATTCAAGTTACATTTTGAATTATATAAAATTTTTAACTTCACAGTAAACTACCAATTATCTTTTGAAGATCCCATTAGCAAACCAATTCTTTAAAAGTATACTGAAGTCAATAGATTATCTAAAGAGAATTTTTCAATGGGTCTAGAAACAAATTTATAACTCAAAAACATTTAGAACCTTTTCTCAATGATATCTATGTCCAAATCTGATTTCTATTCAGATTTAATACTAATTTCATTAAAAATGTTCTGAAAATAATGACTAATCAATTGAAAAATGGTGATAGGTTAAACATCTTTATCATTTTCCTTACACAAAAATCCCAAATATTTAAATTCAGTCTTACAGAAAAAAACAAAACAAAACAAAACAAAACAAAAAAACCTATTGATAAGTATTACTGCCTTAATTGTTGTCTTAACAAACCTGTGCAAATGTGGCCTAAAGAGGCTAAGGAAACAAGTCTAATGAACGTTATCAAAAATTTAATACGGTAAATCATGTCATCTATTCAGATGACAATGGATTTCAGGTTTATGAATGTATGTTTTGTATTTTCAAGTATTTCAGCACTCCTAATTAAAAATGTGAATACTAAATTACAATGACTGCATAGACTTCATTTGCTATGAAATACACTATTCAAGAATCTTTTTCTTCACCTATGAAAAACTTATTGTTAATCATCAAATGGATTCCCCTCCACCCTAGACTCATCAGTAATCAGAAGGCTAAGGAGAGATCCAAGCTGATCCGAACTGTAGTAGGCTTCACTCTGAGCATATCCCTGTGGACGAGGTGAACTTAGCAGGCTGAACAAGCCACAGTGCTCCAATCTGTGACTGAAGCAGGAACTCAACTGGATGTCTCACCCGTTACTTACATCTTCAGTGGCTACCTGATTATTAACTGCAGTTACAGTGTCACACATTTAACAGTCTTTACTCATCTCCTGTAGTATAACCATTAACTACCTGCATTTTGACTTTTCAAAGAGCTCCTTTAGTTGCTGGAATCTTTCTGAGACCTGAAAAATTTTAAATTGAGTGTTAACTATAAATATCTCAACAGTAGTCCTTTATCTTTGATTAATATTTTCAATAGTATATAGGCAAAGTTATCTTCAATACTAGAGACAGTGATGTTTAGAAAAATGAAGTATCTTTATACTAACAGTGATTTAAATTTCCAATAATAAACTCTTTCAAACAAGAAACATCATTACAACATTTTTAAACATTAAATAAGTACAGCAGACCCATGAGTAACAATTTGTTCAACACTGTGTCATTATAACATTGATAAGTGAGGACTTAATGGTAACACAAGAGAAAAATTAGACTCACTCTAAACTTCTTCAAAAATTACCAAGTTTTTAAGTCTTAGATGAAGAACCACACATATAAAAAAAAAACTAAATGGCTAACACTTAAATTTTTAAACATGCTAAAAAGTAAATCTAAGTAATTAGAGTAGTAATAACTATAGAATTGAGGTGTGAAAATGGCATGGTTACCTGATACGGCTTTTTATTCAACTTGGCAGCTAAATAAGAAAATGTTTTCGATGATGGTGCTCTTTTCTGACACTCCAATAGAATTTCCCGGTCATCATTTCTGAAGGGGGAAAATAAGATTTAAAATAAGAGCAGAAATGTCCTCCCTGGTGGCGCAAGGGGTTAAGCACAGCACTATGAAGCAATCCACAGCCACTGCAGCAGGAGTTCGATTCCTGGCCAGGGAGGTAACCCACCTGTCTCACCCACTACTTCCCTCAGCAGTGCATTTCATTCAGTCTGCCTGTTCTGCTCCCCACTGTGTCTCTGGTGAATCCTGTCATCCCCTGCACCTCTGGCCTGTACCCCAGACTTGTATGCAAAAATATTTAAATCTTTAAAAAAAATAAGAGCAGAGAGCTAACAAGAATCTCAAATGACAAATGCCCACCAATAAGAGGTGGAATTCTTATTAGAACCCAGAGGAAAAAGTATACTATGAAAAATGGCTGTCTCTGAGATATAAGATTATGAATAATTTTAATCTTTATTTAAAACAAATGCAGTAATTCAAAAACAAGTGTAGTAATTCATCTTTATGACAAAATTATAGCCCCCCCACTTAATTTTATTTTTAATGTATATAATACTTTAAAAATTTCAGCCCAAACATGATCACTGACTTAAACAGCACAAGAACCAAAAGTAAACTAGAACCAAGATCTAATTCCCAGACTCTCTTTTTCCTACATGGTTTGGGCCAATGTGTGTTATTATAATCTCTTGAAATCTTATTCTGTCACCTCCAAGTTATCTGAAATGAAGGCACAGTGGACTACAGTATTAAACAAAACTGATCGTATCATGTAATTTCATCAAATCCAGAAATCATGCACCTATAGTACAATGATTCACAACTGTGGCTTCCCTTACCACTGAAATGGGGCTTTTAAATCTGCATTTCTTAGGGGCTTCCCTGGTGGCACAGGGGTTAAAGACAGTACTATCAAGCTATCACCAGCCACAGCAGCATGAGTTCAGTCCCTGGCTGGCTAGGGACAGTAGACCTCTCCAGACTCGCCCGCTGCTCCCCTCAACAGTGTATTTCAGCAGATCTGCCTGTTCTGCTCCCCACTCTCTGTTGAACACACACACACACACACACACACACACTCTCTTCTTGTATGCATAAATAAATCTTTTTAAAAAAAACCTGCCTTTTTTAAAAAAAATTTTTTTAAGGATTTATTTATTTATGCATACAAGAACTGGGGGACAGGCCAGAGGTGTGGGGGGTAAGAGGACTCACCAGAGACAGAGTGGGGAACAGAACAGGCAGACAGACTGAAATACACTGCTGAGGGAAGCAGCAGGTGAGTAAGGATAAGTCTGCTGCGCCATGTGGGTAGCTCCCTGGCCGGGGATCAAACTCGGGCTGCAGTGGCTGAGGCTAGCTTCATAGGCTGCGTCTTAACACCTTATGCTACCAGGAAGGCCCTAAAAAATCTGCCTTTCTTAAAAGGTTCACAGAAAAGTTGTAAGTACAACTTGTTCATAAAACTTTTTTGAAGCTTTTCACTTAGGGGAAAACTCAAACTACAAATGCTCACTTTTTGCCATGTTTCCCCATCTGCCATTCCTTTCTAAAATGTGCTCAAACCAGTTCCCTAAAAATGAAATAACTTTTTTAATTAAAAAGTGAAGTTAAAACAGTGAGTTCTATCTGCAATGCTAAAGCATATTCCTTGGCCATTGCTCTAACCTGTTCTACAATTCAGCTGGATTGTACCCTAGAATGTGATCTCTTACCACTTTTGAAGTCATCATTTCCCTCATTTCAGGATAGGATAAAACTATAATGGACAAATTTCTGCCTCTCAAAATTTCTTTGTGATTTAAATCGCTCAGTATTCTTACCTTGTCCATGAAACTACAATTTCTCCTTTCTTTTTAACAACATTCTTTGCAGACAGGCTTGTAGAAGTGGCAGGTGTTGCTGATGGATCCTTAGCGACTGAGCTTGCCTTTGATGAGGAGGGATCTTTAGTCACTGTATAGGCTTTTTTCTTACTTGTTTTCCTTCGGTGAACTTCACCATTCTCACCAGAAACATGGGTGATTTTCTTGGTCTTTTCCTTAGTGGTTAAGTTTGTTTCCTTTCTTTGTTTTTTCTGAGAATGATTTATATCAGAAAGGTTTTTTCTCTTTTTGTGAGGATTATCCAAAACTCCAGGCAACTCTGTGCTATCAGAATGTGATGCTGGCTCTGATTTTAAATCACTCTTTTTAATTTCACAAGAACTGGGAGATTCTGAGGTTAAATCAATATAGGATTCCCTAACAATGCATTCCAAAGTCTTATTTGTCACTTTCATCTTTTCTTCCTTACAGTTATCTTCATCTACACATATCACCTGACACCCCAATCCTTCAATAGCTAGAGGACAGTTGCCTTCATTTTTACTCTCACTTGAAACATCTTGTGTCAAATCAATAAAGGCATCTACAGCATCAGATTGCATACTATCTAGTATTTGAGCATTTTGATTCAAATTGTCTCCAGAACATCCCAATTGATCAATACTTAAAACTGTTACTTCTATGAAGTCCCCTATGTTTTTGGTCTCAGTGACTGTATCTTTAGTGAGGTCTATGTATGTGTTTGGAAGATGATCCTCAACAGAATTTGGAATTTCTTCCATTGAAGGTACTTCTTCAATGTTTCCAGGTACTTTTGTTTCCCATACTTGATGCAACTTGAAACACTCATCAGTCACTTCATTACTATGATCTGCTTTACCTGAAGCATCTTTAAGAAATTCATATATATCAGGAACCTGTGTTGATATCATACAGTCCTGTTCTCCATGAGCAGACTTACTATCAACATTATTGTTGCTATTTTTCAGTTCCTCCATAGATTTACAAACTCTGGTCTGACATGAAATGTATTCTTTCTCTGCTGCTTCATCAGCTTCCTTTCCCACTCCGGGCAAAGATGCCAATGACTCATCAGTCACCATATTCTGTTTAAGAGTGGGGGAGGTAGATGGTGGTGCACGCCGTATTTTCACAATGAAATGATCATTGGACTTTTCCATTATGACAGCATGCATAGGTAGATTAGGGTGGTACTGAAAACCTGGAGTAATAACAGACCGGCTTGTCCATGATGAAGAGCAACTTGATTTACTACTTGAATTATCAGACTCCAAAGCTAAATGAATATCTTGCTCAGATGCATCCTCTTCTTCCAGTAAGGCATCTTCACTAAAATGAGCACTAATAACTTCTTCAGGAGTTGAACTGGACAAAACTTCAGGCTTTAAGAAACTGAGATGACCATCTGACTTCAGAGGTGATGGTACTGTTAAAGAGACTGCTAGATCTTCAAGAAGTATGGAAGAAATACAGGGCTTGCTCTTTTCTGAGCTACATACATTATCTTTACTTAAAGCTATGTTAGAGGCCACTTCAAACATACAGCTCTCATCCAACACATCAGGATGAACAGGCAAAGAAAGTCCTGAAGACAGAGACGGACCTTTCTCAGATGATAATAGTGACCAATTATCATCACTAATCATTTTAGGACATGGAGAAACTACCCCCGAAACTAGCTCTTCTGTTGTACAAGTCGGCAAAGATTCACACTTCAGGGTCTCCAGCAGCTGTTTTTCCGGAGTCTTTAATTCCCACTCATTTTTTTCATTACAGTTAACACTGTTGTCCAAAAGATCAGAACCTTGCAACAAACTTTTAAATATTTCACCCATTTGTGCATCACTCACTAAATTAAAAGTAAGGCTAGATGCTTGTTGTTCAGTAAGAATCTCAAAACTGCGTTCTGGCTTCAGAGCTACATGCTGGGAAGTCTGTGCATCCTCTATGGTGTTGCCTTCATTTTTTTCTGGCTTTGGCATGCTTGAACAGTTCAGTTCTAAGGAGTGCCCATTAGAATGAGAGTTCTTAATATTATCAAAGCAAGTGTTAAAATTTTTTTTAGTGTCATGCTTTATTGTGTGAATACCGGAGTTACTTTGGTCTTGATGTTTTTCTTCAGATTTTTTACTTCCCAATAACAAACATTTTTTAGTGTCATGCTTTACTGTGTTAATACCAGAGTTACTTTGGTCTTGATGTTTTTCTTCAGATTTTTTACTTCCCAATAAAGACTTAGAATAAGCAGAATCTTCTAATTTTGGGGATTTCTCTTTCAGCATTTCTTTTTTGGAGTTGTTCACATTCCCCTTCTGATATTTGGAATGTGGTGCTTTCTCTTTATTTATCTTTTCAACTTTTCCTTCATCACTGTCACTGACAAAGTTCACGGACTCACAAAACTTTAGTAAGATTTTCTTAAGCTTTGCAAACAAGTAATCAAGTTGTTCATCTACAAATTTCCACAACTTCTTTTTCATATCTGGTAGTTGCTGTTCAAATAGACGATCCACTATGCCATTCTTTTTAACTTGCTTAAGCTTGGATTCTATAACATCACAGAGATTCTTCTGTAAAGCTGCTGCTGACTTAGATATTTTGGATAAATCAAGGTGTTTAATTAGTGATGTAAAATTCAAAATTGCTGACTCAATAATTCTATGAAATTGTATCAATGAAAATTTTACCTTGAATTTCATATAATTTTTCCTTACATGTTTTCTTATCACTCGTAGCATGTGCAGAACTTCTGGTACAGAAGCGGGTACAGCAATAATTGGAACTATTTTTTCAAGGCTAGAAGTACTCATTATCTTCTCTTTCTTCTCTGTGTTTGAAGATCTACTTGAGCCACTTCGTCTTTTATTCCACTTGCTTTTGGTCTGATGGATTTTTGTAGATGTTTTCCTATTGTCTTTCTCCAAATACACAGTACTTTTCCTACTTCCTGGGCTAGTTTTTGTGCTCTGAATTTTAGTAGATACTCTCGGTTTGGCACTTTTTCCAAAATGTTTCTGTGGTTTAGAATTTTCACTATCACTTAGTATTTCCCCTTCTTCCAATTCATCTAATGATGGATTCTTACAGGAATCTGCTTCTATACATTTGTCAGGTTTTTGGGTTGGCTTTTGATTTTCTTTATTGAGATCAGACTGGCTCTTAGAGGTAGACTGAGTTGAATTTTGTGGAAATACATCTGTGGAAGAAGAAAAAGTATGTTATAGACACACAACCACTGAATTTTAATAACTTGGCATTTACATACTAAATATGACCAAAAAATGAAGTACTGAGGCAATTCATTATTTTTAATAGCTTTTTCTTTTTTTTTTTTTTTGGCAGAACATTAATGCCTAATATGTATTCATGCCATTTGTCTTTACTGGTCTTAGACTATGCTTAGGTGATAGTGTAGAGTTTGGCCATGTAGATAGCCATTAACTAACTGTTCAGATACCTTTACCTGATAGCAACAACACCGATTCTTTGCCATCTGATGAAGACTTTTGAAGGCCAAAAATAAATCTAAAGCAAGCAGAGTATCTGAAACAATCTGTCCTACCACCTCCTACTCCCCCCCAACCCTCCACACATACTTTTTGCATTATGAATTACTAAAATTTAGACGGGATCTGAATGTCAATTATCTTATAAAAAAGAAACCATACTAATTCACCTTGCTTATGTTTTTACATTCTTACAAACATATAGTTTTAGAGGATAATATAGACTATTACCTTTATGACTGTTAAATAATGGAACTCGAGAGGGGCTTTCCAACCTAGGAAGTTTTGCTGCTGGTCTCACCGGACTATTCAGAGGACTAATGGCTTCTGGGATAGGTCTCAAGTGATTAAAGTCAATGCTCAGTACTGAGTTCTCATCATCATGATACACTGAGTTTGTTTCACCAATTTCCATTCTATGGTCCATTAACACAGTCTGCTGAATTGATTCTAGAGTCTCTTTAGGTAAACAAGGCTCCAAATGACAAGATTTACTCTCAACCAGTTGTGTATCTACAAGAGCAGGCTCAAATTTGGGGTTACCATCTTCTGAAGGAACTACTGGCAAAATGCCAGCTTCTTCAATGGAAGGCTGCAAAATGCTTTCATTGGATTTGGCCACTTCTGTAGAAAGAGTTTCCTTCATTTCTATATCTTCAGAAATACTACAAGAATTTAAACCATCAGTTCTTTTGGTATCCAATTCCAACCCAAAATTTTGAGAAAGATTTGTTTGTAATATGTCCATTACCATGGGAATTGTTGTGCTTGCACCATTAATAGTTTGTTCCATTTCTATTGATGGAAACAAAGACTTGTTTTGTTCCACTTCCACAGGTGCTGAGAAAGAAGTTTCTGTACCACAAATAGGCATATCACAATTTATAGCATTATCAGCAGATTTAATTATCAAACCATGTTCTTCTGTTTTCCTTTCTGGAATACAAGTCCTGGGTTCAGATATTGCTGCAAGAGCCTCTGGTTCCAGTAACTTTGGCTTGGTCTCCTCTGTGATATGTTCATTGACAGAGGGAACACATGTCACTGTTTTAGTTTGCACTGAGTCCAAATCACATATGTCATTGGATTTGGGAGTATTGGTTACTTTATGCTGATTATCCTGAGAAACAGGTTGCTTTTTAGCAGGAGAAAGAGTTAAGTTCAGTTTCTCCATAAAACTCAATTTTAAATCTTTGTTTTTTGTTTCATTTGGACCACTCTCACCTTTATTTGCAAGCTCTTTATTAGCTGTCCCTTCAGAAGCAATATTATTAGAAATTTCACTTTTATCATCTTTTGGCCCATTCTGTCTCTTTAAATCAGTAGTTGTTTTCTTAACTTCTTTGTTAGTCTTCTGCAAATGTTCCGCAGGTGTTTTTTTTTCGTATCTCATATGTCTATTTTCTTCTTTGCTTTCTCGTTCTCTTTTCCTCTTATCTTCAGTTCTATGTCTTTCTGCTTTTAAAGTTACATTTTCCCTTTTCCCCTCTATTTCCTTAGAGTCAATGTGTTTGTGAGTTCTACTGGTTGAAAGACAAGAAGGATATCTTCCTTCTGAAAAACTATGACTACTCACACCCCTGTCTCTTTTGCAATCTTCTCTTCCTCTTCTCTCTTCTAAATGGTATTTATTGGAATTCTGAGATTTTATTTCATTCTTGGAATGAGGAAACAATGCTCGCTCAGATCTTCTCCAATGATCCTGATCTTTTACTACTGATTTAGGTTTTTGATCAGCTTTTCTTTCTTCTCTGTCTTGTGATTTTAGTTCTTTTCTATTTGTACTTTGTGATCTTTCACTTTGTCTTTCCAGTTTTTTGTCATTTTGAGAGTCTACTCGAGCATATGACCTTTCTCTAGAGGCCTCTTTTTCCCAAGAAGTGTTCATGTGTTCATTTTTATAATCCAAATCTGAGTTACTTTTAAACTTCGAATTTTTTTCAGTCTTTGGTTCACCTTTACCATATTTCTCAGGACGTCCTTGTAGCCTCTGACTAGCCTCTGTGTTCCTTGGTTCACCATCACAAGCAGTATTGAACTCTTTTCGTAGTCTATCAGTTCCTCTACTACACTGGCTATGTCTAATATCTATTCTCCCTCTTCTATTATCCTCATTTGAACTACCTTCACCAATCTGATAATGGGAACGTGACCAAATGCCATTGGCACAGTGTTTTTCACTAGATGTAGGCAAATGGGAAGTGCTCTTTTTTTCAGAATGTGATTTTCCTTCCTTTTCGAGTTTTGGCGGTGAAGTGCTATGATGTACATCTTTAGAAACATCACTTTTCACTCTGTGATCAGTCTTTGAACAATCATCCAAATGGGGAGAAGATCTGGATTTAAAATCTTTTGTTTTAACTATGTCTGATGTCCTCGCAATCTTATGATTATTTCGAAAATGTGGAAACTCCGACAATCTATTGAGAAATATAGACATTATCAACAATGACAAAAAAACAAAGTTAATGGCTTTTTTAGCAATCCAAATTTCATACACATTTGATACTCTTTAAATTTTGGGGAACCACCTATGGCAAAATTATTTTTGCTTTGCATAAAGGAGTGAGTGGTAAGAATTGACAAGCTTCTCACTAACTGGGTCAGTTTTTAAAACTGGGTCAATTATTAAAACAGGGAACTCTTTTATTTGCTTTGCTCAAAGTCTGAAGGACAAAAGTCCTATCCCAGCATTTGCAAATGTCTTTCAGCTTTCCCCCCACAAGCATACACAACTCAAAACTGATCACAGATTTATTTCTCTTAGGATAAGTGAAATTATTTTCTTGCCCTCACTAACTCTAGCCCAACTGAAGCAGAACAAAAGTGAAGCCCTGATGAACAACAGATGCAATCAAAATAGGACTCTATGTAGCTTCCTATCCTAGTTTTCTGTTTCACATACAATTCCACAATGAGCCAAAGCATTGATAGCCATGTTAAAAGTGATACATACTGTGCAAAATAAAAAGGAATAGTTTCTATTAAAAAAGAAGTTTCAATAAATGATAACTATTTACCATGTGCATATAGTTCACAACAGAAAGTGCAAATAATTGACAAAACATTAGATTATATAAAACTAAGATCAATCTAATGACACAACTTTCATCATTTATTCACAGTTTCTCTTTTCACCCTGTTCAAACACCATACTTCTCCCCTAAAACATTCAAACATATTTAAAATTCCCCCAAACTTCAGAAAACAATCTTATATGAGTAGTACTGGTGGGATTTAGGTTAGTAAACACACACACAGCCATCTTTCTTTTCAAAAGGGGTAACATGTTTTATAATGCCATATGGTATACACACAGGATTGTCAACACAACCTTTAATCATTTCTTATGTATCTACCATGTGCCAGGCACTATGCTAGGTGTGAGAAAATGACAAAGACACAGATTTCGTGTTTCCATGAAGCTTACATTTTAATGGAAGAGAAAGATACCAGTCAAGCAATCCCATTCATGATTCTAAAAACTGCAAGTATACATAAGCTACAACAGATGTATCCTAATCAGGGAGATCAGAAAAATATCTGTGAAAGGAAGTCTGTGCTGAGACCTGAAGATGAGTAGTTATTCAGAAGATGGAGAAATGCATTCCAGGCAACTGAAACAACCCATGCTCATTGGAATGTTAGTTGCTACTCACAATCTTAAATATCTAATTAAACGCATGATTTTTATGTCTTCCCAGTCAAAGTTAACAACCCATGTAATCTACAAACAAATCCACACCCCACAATTATACCTTTGGTGAAGATTATTTATTTCTTCATCCTTGCGGTTTATTTCCACTCTGGCAGTTTTGATAAGTGCTGAAATATTCTTCTTAAGAGACTGGTTTTCATTTTTTAAGCTGAAATTCTAAAGAACATAAAATATATTTACTAAGGTGTTTATCTACAGCTTCATCAAATTACTACTTATAATAGCTAATGACTACTGCTAACTACATGCCAGGCATCACATATTTTATGCAATTCTCCTAAAAGTTCTATGATCATTACATAAATGGGGAAGCTAGAGATTCAGAGAAAATAACTGGTCCTGGAGAGAGGTCACTTAAAGGGATCAAAATGGCAGGGGGGACACACAGGGCTATTTTCTCAAAAATTAAAAACAAAAGTGATAAAACAACATAAATTTAGCACACAAAAAATGTACTAACTCTCAGTACTCTGGCAACAACAGTGAAGACATCACTATTTTCCTCCAAAATCATTCTAAATCTTTGTTTTTCAAACAATTCTCTTTTAAACCAACTAATATCATCTTTATTAATTTTCTGTTATTTAGCTACAAAGTAGTCTAACATATCTTTTATATCAATATCAACAAATCAAAAAGGTTTTCTTTTTTTTTTTTTTTTTATAGAGGCATGCTTTATTTATTTGTTTGCTGGTTTGTTTGTTTGTTTTGTTTATACATGCACTGGGTACAGTCAGAAGCGCGGGAGGGTGAGAGAATTCACCAGAGCCAGAGCGGGGAGCAGAGCAGGCAGAAGGACCAAGGTACACTGCTGAGGGGAGCAGCGGGCAGCAGGAGAGGTCTGCACGCCATGTGGGACCCTCCTCCGGTGGCCGGGGAGCAGCCGGGGATCGAACCGGCGCCACAGAGGCCGCGGGCAGCTTCTCAACCCAGCGCTCAACCGCTGCGCCACCGGGGAGGCCCCAAAAAGGTTTTCTATATCAATTTCATTAACACAGGCAATGCACGTTTTGCCAGACTTACTAATTCATTTAATACTAAAACAAAGCTGTCTAATAAACTGCTAACACTTTAGCATTTTAACGTCTAAAAAATTATTTATTAAATTTTGACTTAAAATAATTTAATAAAGCAAAAATAAAATACTCATTATAATCTTACCTGTGTCTGTATTTCCTTAAACTTTTTCATCAACTCTTTCATTTGCAGCTGACATTTTCCATATTCTACCTGTAACTATAACATATAAAAAAGATTAAGCATCATTCTAAATTATTTTAACCTAAATATCATTCCTAAATATCTAAAATTTTGCAAATAAACCCACTAAAAAAAGAGTAAATGAGATCTATGTCTACTATGAGATGTTCAAAAGATTTATTTTTAATGTTCGACCTCTCTATATTCTATTTTGTTTCTCTTCATATTTAATCCCCACACCTTAAAATTGAAATAAGGTAGAAAGAAAATTGTCCTATGTAAGTCTTGTGATATTTTTTAGCTTACTACAAATCTGGAAAGACAAAATGTTTTATCATACTGATTGTCTGTTGAAGTTTTACATTCAGACATTTCAATTTAATCAAGCAAAATTACAGCTAAATTCAGATAAGCATTCAGAAAACACTGTTTTAAGAAGCAGATCTAAGGCAGAAACTGACTTAAATATTCCTTCAATCTAACCTCCACTTCCTAAATACAGCATGCATGTTCAATAGTGAGTTTACGCTTATACTACAGGAATTACAAAAAAGTAAAATAACTGTGTTTAATAATTCTAGCAACCCATACATCATTATATGTTGCCTCTTTTGCAGTTCCTTCTTCAGTCAGGATTTCTTCATATAAATCCAAACAATTTCTAAATGGGACACAGGATTTGGAAGCACTGTCTAAAACAAACAAAAAATCCTCACGTTAAAATATGTTCCAGAGTCAATGCAAACCCTCTAAAAATTCCAATGACATTTTCCACAGAAAAAAGAAAAAAAAGTCCTAAGGATTGTGTGGATCCACAAGAAACTGCAAACAGCAAAAGCAATTTTGAAAAAGAACAAAGCTGAAGGCATCACATCTCTTGCTTTAAAACTACAATACAAAGCTAACATAAACAAAACTGTACATTAATGGCATGAAAAATAGACACATCAGGGGAACAGAATAGAGTTAAAAGTAAACCCATGCATGAGCATATATGTGCAATTAATTTATAACAAAGGAGCAAGAATATACAACGATGAAGAGACAGTCTCTCTAATAAACAGCGCTGGGAAAACTGAACAGCCACATGCAAAGGAATAAACTGGGCCTCTGTCTTACACCATACACAAAAAACAACCCAAAATGGACTGAAATTGAATAAGACCTTAAGTCATAAAACCCCTAGGCAAAAAAAAAAAGAGGTTTCTAACCATCAATCTTGGTAATGATTTTCTGGATCTGAAACCAAAAGCAAGGGCAACAAAAGCAAAACTCAATAAACATAACTACATCAAAGTTTAAAAATCTGCATAACAATGGAAACAATCAGCAAAATAAAAAGGCAACCAAAAGAAAAGGGAAGGTATTTACATATTATGTATCTGATAAGGGGTTAATATGAAAAAATATATAAAGAATTAACAACTCAGTAGAAAGAAATCCAACTAAGAAACGGGCAAAAGAATGCAATAAACATCTTTTAAAAAAAAAAAGATGTACAGATGGCCAACAGGTACATGAAAAAGTGCCAAACATCACTAACATCAGGAAAAAACAAATCAAAACCACAATGAGATATCATCTCACACCTGTCAGAATATCTATCATCAAAAAGATAGAGAAAACAAGTGTTGGTAGGGGTAAGGATGGTTGTACATTGTTGGCAGGAAAATAAACTGGTTGCAGCTACTATGGAACAGAGTGAAAGTTCCTCATAAATTTGAAAATTAAACTACCATATGATACTATAATCCTACTTTCTGGGAATCTATGCAAGGAAAATGAAAACAGGATCTCAGAGAGTTATCTGCACTGCCATATTCACTGCAGCATTATTTACAATAGCTAAGACATGGGAACAACAACATGGAATAGAGAAGACATGAAAACACACACACAGAGGAATCAAATTCAGCCATGAAAAAGGACATCTTGCCATTTACAAAAACATGGATGGACCTTGAGGACATTGTACTAAGTGAAAAAAAATCAGACAAATACTGTATGAAATCACTTATATGTGGAACCTAAAAAAAGCTGAATGTATAGAACCAGAGACTAGAATGGTGGTTACATGGGGCAGGGAGTAGGGGAAAAGAGATGCTGATCCAAGAGTATAAACTTCAAGCTATAAGATGAATAAGTTCTATATTATTCTTATCTAATACACAGCACAGTGATAGAGACTGCAGTTAACTATACTTATTATATAGTAGAAAGTTGCTAAGAAAGTAGATCTTAATGTTCTTAAATGTGATTAAAAAAAGTGATGGCAATCATTTTGAAATCTGTATATCAAATCAACACACTGTACATTTTAAACTTATACAGTGTTATATATGTCAATTATATATATCTCAAGAGAGCTGGAAAAAAATAGAAAAATATGTTAAGCTTTTGGTGTTATATCTAGCTCAACTCAAAAGGCTATACATTTCCCCAACTCCTACATTTCATCCAAAACTATAGTGATTTCAGAGATAAGAGCTGGAAGATTTAGCTAAAAATGCTTATGTCAACAAATCAGTTGTAAGAATCATGTACCTGTTAAACACATTTGATTAAACAAATCATATATTTACTTAATTTGGGTAAGTTATGAGACTGTATATCCCACTCTTACACATTTGGGACTATTTATTGTCACTACTCTTTTCAAGAACTCCATTATCATATAACCTGTTGACAATATGAGTAGTTAATACATGTACAGACAGCACCACCATTTTAATGGTACAAAGTATTTTTGCACAAGATCCAATTAAATCCAAGACCTAGATAAATAACAAACCTGAGTGCAATTTAGTTTACTAATCAAGTTTTGGGTAGGAAAATATTTATCGGATTATAATCATTTCAAGGAATGAACAAATGGACTATAAGTACTTTCTATAAACTGACCAAACAAAATGAAACTATCTCATTATAGATCTTACATACCAGAAACAACATTGTCCAACCCAGCATATATGTCCAATGAACCTTCATCATTACTTTTAAGAGGAGAAGCTGCAAGAAAAATAAAAAAATAGTTAAAATTAACTTTATCACTTAGTAAATTTTTTCAATTCCTACTTAGAAAGACTAGTACTCTGAAGGACTAGCAAAAGACTATTAAAAAAGGGAATTGTGGCCTCCCTGGTGGCGCACGGGGTTAAAATGCAACCTATGAAGTTATCTGCAGCCACTGCAGCACGAGTTTGATCCTGGGCCAGGGAGCTACCCACATGGTGCAGCAGACCTCTCCTGTCTCACCTGCTGCTTCCCTCAGCAGTGTATTTCAGTCAATCCGCCCATTCTGTTCCCCATCCTGTCTCTAGTGAATCCTCTCACCCCTTGCATCTCTGGCCTATACCCTAGTTCTTCTACAAAATAAATATTTGAAAAATAATTCTATGTCTATTACTTATATTTTATAAATTTTATATTCATATTTTCTATTGTATTGATTTGTGTGTGGGGAGAAAAAATTTATGACAGTATTTTTAGTGCGAGTAAGTGAATGATTTAGTAATTAAATACATTTAGAAAGACAATTAAAAATGAGCTCTTACCGGAAAAGACATCAAATAAATTTGTTCCATCACCATTGTCATCATCTGCTGCCATGATCCTACTTCCTTTTGATAGTTGCCATCTAAATTTTTTAAAATAAAGATTTTCCACTGTTAAAACCAACCTCACAATTAAGATAATAAACCTAACTTTGGGCCTCCCTGGTGGCGCAACGGGTTAAGCACCGCACTATGGAGCAGTCCACGGCCTCTGCAGCGCGAGTTCAATCCCCTGCCAGCCAGGGAGCAACTCACATGGCAAGGCAAGCCTCTCCTGTCTTGCGCTCCCACTCCCCTCAGCAGTGTGTTTCAGTCAGTCTGTCTGTTCTGTTCCCTGCTCTGTCTCTGATGAATCCTCTCACTCCCCAAATCTCTGGCCTGTGCCCCAGCTCTTGTATGCATAAATAAATAAATCTTTAAAAAAAACCTAACTTTAAGTTAAACCTCAGCTTTTAAATTTGACATACAAAGGGTCACTCATGATTAAAAACAAATAACATTTTTCAAAAGTTAAAACTACAAAATAAAAACATTGAACTTCACATGGTTAAACCATGTCATAAAATAAATTATTATTTTTAAAAATGTACCAAAATGTACTTAACTTTTATGCTAAAATAAGTCAACTGTCATACTAAACAAGCGCAACTATACGGTGACTTCTGTTAGTTCTCTTGGCAAGTCATCAAACCTGGAAGTAGTCTTTGGAATTTGAGATACACATGTTTTCACCAATAAGAAGGTAAGATAGGCAAATAGCAAAGTGTCTGATACTATACTGGGTTGGTAAAGGTCTAGAAAAAGAGGTAATCTCATACCTTGACAGAAATTTTCAAGTGTATATGGCTGCAAGTTCCACAAAGGCAATTTTGCAATAGCTGTCTTTGTTGATAAATTTGTAAATTTTCTCTTTGTAAATTCTCTTGATATGATGTAATAAACTGGCACTTTACCTGTCATCCTCCCCCAAACCCATAACTACATTCTAGCCATGACATAAACATCAAATTCTAATAGAGGAATATTCTGTAATAACCTGATTAAATAGTCTTCAATAATTACAGGGACATCAAAAACAAAGTGAGAAAACGTCAGTCAAGAGGAACCTAAGAAAACATGGCAACTAAAGGTGACATGGTGTCCTGTAACAAAAAAAGGATAAAACCTAGGTAAAAATGAAGGAAATATAAATAAAATATACCCTTTGATAATGTATAAACGTTGGTTAATTTCTTAGAATATACTACAATAATATAACATAAGATGTTAATAATGGAATATGGGGGTATAGAGTGGGTGATATATGGGAACTCCTTGTTCTCAATTTTTCTGTAAACCTAAAACTATTCTAACAAAGAGTACATTAATTTTAAAATCAGTATATCTGATCATAAGAAAAAATCATTTTAATATCAAGAGCATATGATAGGGCCTCCCTTGGTGGCCCAGGCGGTTGAGCACAGCGCTGTTAAGCTGTCTGCAGCCTCTGCAGCCTGGGTTCAATCCTGACCGGCGAGGGTCCCACATGGCGCAGCAGACCTCTCCTGTCTCATCCACTGCTCCCCTTAGCAGTGTACTTTGTCAGTCTGCCTGTTCTGCTCCCCACTCTGTCTCCGGTGAATTCTCTCACCCTCCCGCACATCTGGTCTATGCCAGGGTTCTTGTAGAAATAAAAAAAAAAAAAAAAAAAAGAGCATATGATAAAGAGACTTTTATTAAGCTGAAAAAAGATGAATTTCTACTTAAAAAAACCAAAAACCCTTTACATCAAACATCACATAGCACGATAAACATGCATTTCCTCTAAAGTTAAGCCTGGCTTCTATCTGAAAGAGTAAAACAGGGCCTCCCCGGTGGCGCAGCGGGTTGAGCGCAGCACTGTGAGGCTGTCCACAGCCTCTGCGTGAGTTCGATTGCCGGCCAGGGAGATTCCCACAGTGCGCAGCAGACCCCTCCTGTCACATCCGCTGCTCCATTCAGCAGTGCTTTTGGCCTGTCTGCCTCTTCTGCTCCCCACTCTGCCTCTGGTGAATCCTCTCACCCTCCCGCGCCTCTAGCCCGTACCCCAGTTCTTGTATAAATAAAATCTTTAAAAAAAAGAAAAATAAATAAGTGAGTAAAACATGAAATGAGATAAAGCTGGAAAAGAAGAAACACAGCTGATGATCATCTATGTAGATAATCTATAAATTATTAGAATAAATATGAGATTCTCAAAGTTGCTGAATGCAAGAATACACAAAAGCAATAGCTTTTCTACATACGAGCAACCAATTTTAAAACATTACTGATATACTTACAATAACAAAATCCCAACTTATAAGTATTGATTTTTTTAAAAATTTTTTTTTAAGTATTGATCTTATACAACATCTTTGTGGAGAAAATAATAAAGGATCTAAATGCAGGATATGATAACCCTTTCTTCTTAGAGGACCAGAAAGTAAATTATTTTAGGCTTGTAGATAATCTGGTCATAATTCGTCACGTAACTTGCTTGGTAATTCTGTCACTGTAGCTTTATATATATATTTTTAAAGATTTATATGCATACAAGAACTGGGGTACAGGTCAGAGGTGTGGGGGTGAGAGGATTCACCAGACAGAGTGGGGAATAGAACAGGCGGATTTACTGAAATACACTGCTGAGGGGAGCAGCTGGTGAGTAAGAAGCAGTCTGCTGCACTATGTGGGTCACCTCCCTGGCCAGGGAGCAAATTTGTGCTGCAGTGGTTGCGGGTAGCTTCACAGTGCTGCATCTTAACCCCCAGGGCCACCAGTGAGGTCCCTGTCACTGCAGCTTTAAAGCAACCATAGACAACATATAAACAGATGTAAGCAGTGGGCCATAAAACTTTATTTACTATCAATTTATCTTTAAAATAAATAACAAACATACCACAATCACATATATGAGAATACTCAGTACTGGCAATTCCCCCAACTGTTTTTTTTTTTTTAATGATTTATTTATTTATGCATACGAGAACTGGAATGGTAAGCCAGAGGTGAGGGGGTGGTGGTGGTGAGAGGATTCACCAGAGAGAGTGGGGAGCAGAACAGGCAGATGTACTGAAATATATTGCTGAGGGGAGCAGTGGGTGAGACAGGAAAGGTCTGTTGCACCATGTAGGTTAGCTCCCTGGCCTGCCAGGGATCAAACTCAGTGCTGCAGTGGCTGGCGATAACTTGAAAGCTGTCTTTAACTACTGCGCCACCAGGGAGGCCCCCAACTTTACATATAAACTCTGGAAATTTAGTCAAACTGAACAAGATGAATATAAAATTCAAACTGAAGTGCAAAGGGCTTAGTAGAGTCAGGGCAATTTTTATTTTCAAGGTATAAGCAGTAAATTTACTGAAGAATTATAAATACAGGAATCAGTACAAATGATAAATATAGAGTCCTATGGCTTTCCACAAATTGAACACATTAAACTACCATTCATATTAAGAAACAGGTCATTACCAGCACCCTACAAGTTCTACTCATGCACCGTAATAGCCACTATGCACTCCCAAATGTGATAAAAGATGTGTGGAAAATAAAAGCATACACAATGCTGGTGACTAGCATTGTAGAGGAAATACTTGCATGTCAATGGAGGAGTAAGATTTGTGTAGATTCCAAATGAGTGCATCATTAACCTTGGAGAAAAGATATACATAGAGAACAGCAAATAAAACCGTCTAGTTGGAATGGGGCTCAGGAAGAACAGGATTGGAAGAATATCAAATTTAATTAGAGTCAAACAGAAGATATTAAATGCCAAACCAAGGAATCAGCGATAGGCATACTGAAGATTTTTTAGTTAGAAACATCAGTATCATGAAATGAAATAGGGACACTAATGTGTAAAATGAAGTAGAAAAGCAATAATGTATGAAGAGAAACTAGGGAGGAGGCTACTACCGTAAGAGTCTGCATTATAAAACATGTGGAGACACATCTTCCATAAGGATGGAGACAATGAGAATGAAAAGAATGTTTATATGAAGCATAATAATGGAAGACAAATGTGGTAAATGTCTAGATTAGGGAAATATAAACACATCTGCCCGGATTCACTTTCAAGCCACAAACTTTCTTTGACCCTTTCCTTATCTCTACACTCACTTTCAAGTAGTCACAAATTCTTAGTAATTATAATTTTATACTTTTTAATTCTCAAATGTATTGTCTTCTTCCCCATCAGTTTCAGACATGATTTCTCATTTAAATTACTATATAAATCTCCTAGGTAGCTTCCATGTTAACAATATATTTTTCCTCTTACAATTTTTGACAATAAAGTCAAAATTAATCTTATATATGTCTAGCCTGTGTTTCACCAAGTCAGAAAATTTCAAGAGCTACCCAAAACAAAATACAAATTAAGGTTCCAAAGCACAGAAAACAAGGGAACTGAAGGGCTTTTTTAAAGCAAGGGAATATCATGATCAAATCTGTTTTTCAGAAATTTAACTCTAGCAAGAAGCATAATACTAGTGACAAGGGAAATAGACAAGGAAATAGTAATACTAGTGACTAGAGAAAATACTAGTGACAAGGGAAATAGAAAAAGCTATTAAAAAATGCAGAAAAGAGGGCCTCCCCGGTGGTGTAGCAGTTGAGCGCTGGGTTGCTAAGCTGCCCACAGCCTCTGCAGTGCCGGTTCCATGCCCGCCGCTGGATGAGGGTCCCACATGGCGCACAGAACTCCCAGCCGCTGCTCCCCTCAGCAGTGTCCTTCGGTCCTTCTGCCTGTTCTGCTCTGGCCCTGGTGAATTCTCTTACCCTCCACGCTTGACTGTACCCAGTGTTTGCATAAATAAATAAATCTTTAAAAAAAAAATGCAGGAAAGGGAGGGAGGTAGAAGGAGGCAGAACACATAGAGGGGACCAACTGGTTGGTTGTGACTAGACATTTAGTGATGATCATGGTATGACATACACAGCTAACAACATGAGAAACTGCATACATGAAACCTACAGTGTTGTAAACCAGTATTACCTCAATTAAAAAAAAATGTAAAAACTAAACAAAAAAACCAATGCAGGAGAGAATGAGGAATGATTGAATTAGAAGTAGAAAGAAAGACAGGGGCCTCCCCAATGGTGCAGGGGTTAAGACGCAACCTATGGGGCAGTCCGCAGCCTCTGCGGCATGAGTTCAATACCTGGCTGGCCAGGAAGAAACCCACATGGCAGGACAGACCTCTCCTGTCTCGCCCGCTGCTCCCCTCAGCAGTGTATTTCGGTCAGCCTGCCTGTTCTGTTCCCTACTCTGTCTCTGGTGAGTCCTCTCACCCCCCGCATCTCTGGCCTGTATCCCAATTCTTGTATAAAAATGGATGTCTTTAAAAAAAAAAGAAAGACGGGAGCAGATCTGAGATTTCTGTGGCAAAGTTGAAAGATTTAATGGAAAGTATATTCAAATGTTCACTTTTGCCCAATTCAAAACCATAGCCTGAGCTGACCTTTCAAAATCAAATTTAAGTCCTGTTCCCTCCTCTGCTTAAAATCCTCAGTGCTTCCTGCTGATCTTACATTAAAAAGTCAATTTTGGAGGCCTCCCTGGTGGCACAAGGGATTAAGTCTCAGCACTATGACGCTATCAGCAGTTGCTGCAGCATCCCTGGCCAAGGAGCTAGCCCACATGGCCCAGCACACCTCTCCTGTCTTGCCCGCTGCTCCCCTCAACAGTACATTTTAGTCAATTCAGCTGGTCTGCTTCCCTCTCTGCCTCTGGTGAATCCTCTCACCAGAGGAAGAATATCACCTCTGGCTTACACCCCAGGCTCTTGTATAAATAAATAAATACATATATAAATAGCCAATTCTGCCATAGTTCTGCTTACAAAACTCTGAACAACCTGGTTGGTCTCTGTCTCCCATCCAGTGTTGGTCTGCCTCATTTTCCCCCATTCCTCAGCAGTCTTTGCTCTGATTATATTGAGCTTTTTTCAGTAACTTAAACATCTTGTTTGTTCCCTCCTACCAGAAGGCCTCTGCAGGGAGGACTCCTTCCTCAATGTTCTACCTTCACTTTAACTCAGCTTGGATATTTTAGCTTAAGTAATGTTTGAACCTTCCCTGCCTATGCTCTTATTCTTAACCCCTGTCTGCTTTCTTTACATGACTGTTTCATTTTATGATTACAATTTTGTGGGATTTCTAGAGCTGTGTCCACCTCACCCATGGGACTGTAAGCTCCATGAAGACCAAGACTGGCTCTGTCCTGTTCACCATTGTATCCCCCGATCTCAGCACAGGCCTAGGTAATAAGTTGGTAGGTAATAAAAAAAAATTGTTGAATTAATGAAATTCCCAACTTGTCAAAGACAATAAAGTTCCTAGCTTTGGTAACAAGATGATCATGCTTTTAACTGAATGGAGAACCAAAGGAAACACGTTATCTGTGGGACATCCAGGTGGAAATGTCCAACAGATGACTAGAAACTAGAGTATGTAGCATAGAAAAGACATAATTGCCCGCTGTTCCCCTCAACAGTATATTTGAGTCAATCCAGCTGTTCTGCTCCCCTCTCTTAGAGTAATTTAACATGGCCATGACACTTCTGGAAAGGAAGGAGAGGATGAAGGACTATGAATCTGAAATCTCTTAGAAAGAAGGTTTTCACGTTTATTCTCACCTTCCCCTGATTGAGGATCTCAATATACTAATAGGAGGGCTGCACCTATGAGAAGTGTTGAGGCAAGATTTTAAAAGATGAGAACCACAGAGGGTGGGGGGAAGCAAATATTGTTTAAAAATGAACAATGATGGGCTTCCCTGGTGGTGCAAAGGGTTAAGCACCGCACTATGAAGCAATCCGCAGCCTCTGCAACAAGAGTTCCATCCTGGCCCGCCAGGGAGCAACCCACATGGCGAAGCAAACCTCTCCTGTGGCGCCTGCTGCTCCCCTCAGCAGTGTATTTCATTCAGTCTGCCTGTTCTGTTCCCCATTCTGTCTCTGGTGGATCCTCTCACACACACCACACCCCCCCTGCATCTGCATCTCTGGCCAGTACCTCAGTTCTTGTATGCATAAATAAATCTTTAAAAAAAATAAAATAAGGCCTCCCCTGGTGGCGCAGGCGGTTGAGCGCAGCGCTGTGCAGCGCTGTGAAGCTGTCCGCAGCCTCTGCAGCGCCCCGGCTGGCCGGTGAGAATCCCACATACCGAGCAGACCTATCACCGGCCCTGCTCCCCTCAGCAGTGTATTTCAGTCATTCTGCCTGTTCTGCTCCCCACTCTGTCTCTGGTGAATCCTCTCATCCTCCTGCGCATCTGGCCTTACCCCGGTTCTTGTATGCATGAATAAATAAATCTTAATCAACTAGCTTTCTGTGATAGGACATCTTAAAAAGACAATCAGAAGGAAGTTTTCTTTAAAAAAGAAAATTGAGAAAATGAAATAAGCATTTGTGGGGGGTTGGGGGGGAAGGAAAAAAGCCAGAAGAGAGGGAGAGTGTATTTTTAGTCTCATGGGAAGTTTAATAAAGCAAGATCCCTGAAAATGTAAAGGAAAAAGATAATCAAATCCTACATATACTGTACACTACATGCTAGGCATTAACCTAAACGTTATTGAAAGACATTACCTTAAATCCTCCTCAAAGTCCTAGACTCTATACACTATTCTTTCCTGTTTTACTGATGAGGAAATATACAGTCCAGAACCTTGCCCAAGCCAAACAGATGTTTAGTGGCAGATCTGAGATCACATCCCAGTACCCTAAAGCCAGAACACAAAATCAAAGATAGTCACTAGGGGGAAAAGCCTACATTTTTTCTGAAAGGGGACCACTTGTTATTGTAAAAGAGCAAAAAACGCTAGGAAAAGATAACTGGGGACAGGGCAGGCGAGCTCTTCCTCGCAAAGCTGCTGCTCCTCTCCAGTTAGAAAGGTGTTGAGTGAGATGGGGGAGGGGCGCTCTGGAAAGGGGAAAATTTTAGAACTGGAACTGTCGAGCATGGGAAGACCTGGAAAGAATCAGCGTCCATGCCAATTTGATCCGGAAACACAAATCTTGACATTCTGCGAATTCTGCATTCATATTTAAGCCAGGGCCGAAGAAATGCCAGACTGGGTTCTAGGTGCCGTGGGGGTCAAAATAAACTTCTCCGGGCCTAACAGTCTCGGAAACATCCAACATCAATAACCGTCTGACACTCAGGGAAAAAACCATTCCTCCAGAGCAGCCCGTCCGAAAGCTTTTACAATACATTCCAAAGAGAGACTGGCTTTGAGGGGGGACGGGGGAGGGAGAGGCTGAGAGGGTAGTTCCTCCGTGGGCGCCCCCAGCCCCAGCCCGGGCCCTCGGGGAAACCACAGGGGACGCGAGTGAGAGCTCGTAAGCTGCATCTGAGGGCAGCAGGAACGCGGTACCTGCGGGCCCCAGAGGTCAGGCACGACCCCGGCCCCGAATCCGTCGCTCCCTTCGGTTCTCCGGCTCCCCGAGTACCACCGGCTTCCGCTAGGACACCACTGCACCATGCAGCCGCTACTTCAGCAGCCCCGCGCGACCCGGACCACCACAGCAACTTACCCGCCCAGCCTGGCCCCACAGAACCCGGGCTCCTTTATGGACACCGATGGCTCCCTCGCATCTCCACCAATGCCAGAGCGCAATCGCGAGGCGGGGGCGGGACTGAGAGCCCTTGACCAATCAAATCAGACGCAAGTCACGTCCCGGCGCACATAGCTAGTTCCCGCCTTTGGGAGAAAAAAAAAAATACACAACAGGCGCCAAACTCCGGTAGTCGGCCCGGATTAGGGAAAGGGGCGGGCCTGATCTGGTAAGGACGGCGATTGGACAAGACGTCACTACGGAAGGGGCGGGACCTTGGCGGAGGTGGGGCGGGGCTTTAGAGAAGCTCTGGTGAAAAGGAAAGTAAACTCTGAGAGGGCGCTGACATTTATGTAGTCGTATATTCTATAAATTCTATTGCCTGTCTATCGCGTGGTAGACATGGTGCTTGGCGTTATCTCGATAAATATGAGGAAGCACTGTTCCTTGCCCTCAGCCAGTCTCCTAGGTGACATGCAAACAACTTAGCGCAGGCTTTGGACTTAAAAGCAGTGGGTACCAGTTTAGTGGGCTGGGAAGGGGAAGAGAGCTATTCAGAGGGTTGAATAAATGATTTGTTTTATAGGACCTGCGGAACCAGAGGTAAGGTCTACCCAGAGGAGGTGGGGTCTGTGTCACTGATTGGTGAGGAAGTAGAACCAAACCTTTGTTACCTTATCTAGGAAACTTAATCTTGACTCCTAGACATTTCTTCTACTTTATCAATTTAACTGCTTGACAACTGTCATATCAACTTACTGCCTATTTTCAATTTTTTTGAAAAAGCCCCAATTTAAGAAAATAAGTTATGGGAAAACATTGGCTTCCTAGATTCTCCCCCAACCAGTTTTGCATCTGAGAAGTTATGTAGTCAGGCAGGTAGGCATTGTAGGTAGTAGAAAGAGAATATAGGTTCTGCAACATCAAGGCTTTTGTTGTTGCTGGAGCAAAGTGCAAGGTAAAGCTGGAGAGGGAGTTAGGGATTAGAACTTTTAGGACCATGGATATGTCAAATAGCTTGGAATTTATCTTTAGATGGTGAAGTATGGGGATCACTGAAGAATCTTAATCTCAGCATGGTCGTGACATGATTTGCATGAATAAGATCTGATGACCTTGAGAAGAAGGATTTTGAGATATCGCTTTCAGATCCTGTCTTCAGAGAGAGTGCAATGAAGAGGGCAGGTAGGCAAAGCAACATTAGAACATTTAAACGATAAAATCAAATATTAGCAATTGATTGGTTTTCAGCATGGGTGCTTGATGGCATTCATCAAAAAATATTTATTGAGAACATATATGCGAGCCTAAAAAAATAACTTCCAGAAATGCATGACCTTACTTTTAAATTATTTACAAAGTCTCTTTTTACTAGTACATTCGTAAGTACTTTACATTTAACAAAAGTCATGAATAATTTCTATATAGTCACTTGGAAAAACCTCAACCAATTCCAATTTGGGATATTTATAGACATCAGCTGAAGGAATTGGTTTTCTTTTAAAGGAAACAAAAAATAAATAAAATCTTTAAAAAAAAGGCAATTAAATAAATCTTAAATAAATAAATTAAATAAATAAAATGAACTGTGGAGACATGGATGATCTAGGTATGGGGCGAGGGTGTGGGGGTTAGGGAGAGATGATTTGTAATACCTTCCTATACTGGAAAGTAAGGAATTGTTCAAAATATGGTAGGAACATGCCTAAGGGTAGTGCTTATGTATAAACCTAGAAAATGGAACTCTCTCAAAAGATTTGTCAAAAATTATGAATTGGGGGACCTCCCTGGTTGTACAAGGGGTTAAGAGGCAATCCGTGAAGCTGTCCACAGTCTCTTCATCAGGAGTTCAATCTCCCGGCTGGCCAGGGAGCAACCCACATGGTGCAGCAGATCTCTCCTGACTTGCCCACTGCTCCCCTCAGCTGTGTATTTCAGTAGATCTGCCTGTTCTGCTCCCCACTTTGTCTCTGGCGAATCCTCTCATCTCCCCCCACCTCTGGCCTGTACCCCAGTTCTTGTATGCATAAATAAATCTTTAAAAAATTATGAATTGGTGTATGTTTCTGCAGAAAAGTTCTCCTTGCTTTCAAAAGTTCTCAAAGGGTTGATAATTCACACACACACATGCATGCACACACAAACTGTGAAAACCATTAATCTAATGGCGAGACAAGGGCAAAAGTGGGAAACATGCCACTAAACTCCCTTTCCTATTCTGGGATTTTATATAAAGGATAGCCTCATAAATGCACAGTAGAGTTATTCTAATTAGATAGTGACAAACTAATCCTATCAGATTCTCTTTCTACAAGGAATTTTAAATATGAACTCCACAGAAAAAGGCAATTGAATGTTTCAATTGAAACATTTGAAACTAAAGGGAGAGGAAAAGGCAAAGGAATGAAACTACAGTAGGGAGGAACTGAGTTATAAATTTGACAGTCAGTAGACTAATGAGCAGTAGACCCAGATGCTTTTAAGGTGATAACAAAACTATTGTCAGTCCTTTGTGTTTCTGTTCAGGCATGAGTGACCGGGAGCCATTTTTCCTGTTTGCCTTAGCTTCCTGAGTTCCCTTTCCTTCCCTATCTACCTTTTACTGCATGCACTTTGGCTTTTCTCTTTTCCCTGCAATCCAGAAAACCCTACCTCTTGGATCTTAGAAGTATGACACTGTCAAGTGTTGTCATATTTTCTTGCATACAAGAGATGGGATGTAGACCAGAGGTGGTGTGTGTGTGTGTGTGTGTGTGTGTGTGTGTGTGTGTGAGAGAGAGAGAGAGAGAGAGAGAGAGAGAGAGAGAGAGAGAGAGAGGATTCACTAGAGACAGAGTGGGGAGCAGAACAGGCAGACTGACTGAAATACACCGCTGAGGGAGCAGGGGCGAGACAGGAGAGGTCTGCTGTGCCATATGGGTCAGCTCCCTGGCCAGAGATAGAACTTATAACTCATGCTGCGGTGGCTGCCGATTGCTTCATAGTGCTGAGACTTAACCCCTTTGGGACACCAGGGAGGCACCCACAGTGTAAATTATTATAACCATTTTGGAAAACATTATCTACTATGTATTTTTTTCACAATTGCCTCAGATCGAGAAAGTTTATCTTTTATACAAAGAAACAGTAAATATGTGAAATGATACCACATTGCACTTTACCATTATTTTGCCTTGTTCTTGAATTTTCTATAAATGCACTTCTAATTTAATGTATTATTCTACCTTACTCTTAACACCAGAATATTCTGTAACATATCATACTTAAACATTCCCTAACTCAATTCCAATCATTTCCAATATTTATATTAAGAAAATTACAAGGTGTGCACTTGTCATATTTGTGTGCGATTTCCACAGGTCTAGAAAGGAACTGCCGTGTTAGAGGGAGAAAATCTGCTTGTTCGTTGAGATAATCACTATTACTTTAGCGTTTCATTTATATCTGATCTTTTGCGCGCTATGCCGGAGGTAGGCAGGTAGGGTGTGCCGAGGATCATGGGCCCCTGAGGGGCTCCCTCGCTTTTCCTAGCTGAATCTTCTGTCTTGATGTCCCTCATGCATTGTCTCTCAGCCCTCCCATCATAACATGCATTAGATCCAGTAGCAAAAGTCCTTTCAGCTTCGATTGTCCCTCCGGAAGTGGCGCGTAGTGAGTGCGTTATTTCCGTCGCCAAGGAGGTGGGGCCGAGGCCGCCCCCGCGTCGCGGTCGCGAGCTGATGACGCAGAGCGCCGCGTGCTGCCCCACGTGTGGTGCTGGTCTCCGGTGCCCGCCGTGCGGCGTTTGCCGCTTTCCCTGGGGGCGTAGTTGTTGGCAGCTGCGGCGCGGGGACCTCAGCAGCTTAGGGGGGCTGAGCGTGAAGCGGGAACGCGGTGGCCGCCCGGGGCGGAGGGCCGCTGGTCATGGAGCATCTTTTGCTGGAGGTGGCGGCCGCGCCTCTGCGGTTAATCGCGGCCAAGAACGAGAAGAGCCGCGGCGAGCTAGGCAGGTTCTTGGCCAAGCAGGTAAGGGAATGAAGGGGGGGGAAGGCGCCAGGCCGACCCCGCCGACCCCCCTTCTCCTGTGCTGGGCGACCCTGCGCGCAGACGCGCTGCTTCAAGGGGAGAGAGAAGCCGCGTCTTGTTCCTCTGCCCCTCCACGGGCTGCTCAGTGGCTGAGGCATCCGCGCGTGTTGGGGGAAATTGGAAGCAAGCTTTTGTTTTCATCCAGGGGAGACTATCCTTTCCCTCTCCACCGACTTACCCCCATGCAGGCGTGGCCTTCCACTGGAAATGTGGTTTTCCTGTAATTGAGATTGGTTATCTGCCGTTTTGACGTGTTTATTACCTAAGAGTGCAGAACCCAGCCATCGGTTTAGCTTTGGTGCGTGATCTTTCCTATCCCGTGTCTTTTCCTTCTGTTGACAAGTATTGATTGCATTCTTGCTGTCCGTTAGGCACAGTGTGGTACTGTTCAGAGACGGAAAGATAAATCCTTTATGGTCTTTTACCCCTGGAAATCTAGCATCTATTTCTGGAGTGAGTTTATATAAACACCGAAAACAATCGAAGGACAAAGCAAGACTGTGAGTGCCAACTCTGATACTAACCATAGAACTATAAGGTGAATTAGAATTTTCTGGGACGTTGATGTTCAGACTTTTAAGAGCCTGCTCTTCCTGACTTGTCGCAGTTTGAGTTGAGGATCCTTATTGCCGCATCTTTTTCGGGTTTCATTTTAGTTTTTTATTTTCTGCTTCCCACTCATGCCCCGCCCCCCCCATCCCACCCCATCTGAATTTCTTGAGAGTTAAAGCGTGTGGGATTTCTTGTTTGTTTTGGGTAACTCCAGTATTTAGAACTTAGTCACCTATACATTGCGCGCGCACGTGTGTGTGTGTGTGTGTGTGTGTGTGTGTTAGGGTAGCAAGCAAAGGCAGTGATTTAGGTCTGAAGTGGTAGGTGGGTAGGTTACTAGCACTAATGTGAATGTGAAACAACGGGGAAGCAACATTAACATTAACACATAATGTTAATGTGAAACAACGGGGAAGCAAGAGTCAAGGATACACTTAGAGTTTCA